AAAAAAAAAAAAAAAAAAAATACAGCATTTTTCTTTGTTTCACACTCTCCCTTCCACAGTCACCCCTGTGCAAAATGTCTCCAGAAGCCCTAACTACTATTCAAGTCCTCAGAATCATGCTTCTGCCTCAGCCCTACATGCAGGGATGTCATTCACCCCTTTGGTTTTACTTGTCTACTTTATAATATCCCCTAAAAAAACATATTTATTATAGAAACAATGATAAGTATGGGATGTCTGAAGCTGCTTCCACATGGGTAGATTTGTTAGGGAACGAATGATGCTTTACCTTCTGCTACTCTCCACAGGTTTATCACACATATTATCACAATTGGGGCCAACCTTTTTAGTTGATGTGCCACATATTAACCCTGTACCTTTCAAGTGCCACTTTGATTCCCATCTTTAACCCAATCTGCTGCTTTGTTTTCTGTTCTATACCCTGTGCTCCCTGCCAGAACTCCCGCTCTGCTTTCTGCCCCCCGCCTTATCTGCTGGTGTGCTGCCTGTCCCCTTCCTGATCTGTAATGTGTCACACACAAAGACTTCCTGTGCCATTTGTGACACTCATGTCACAGGTTGGCCACCCTGTATTATCACGTCTTTCTTTAAAAAGTTAGCTTTTCTAACTATATTGCTCCTGTTACTGTAACTACCACACTTGGCATTTTATTTACACTAATGTTTCTGGTATTTATGGTGCCAACCTGACCCTCATGTTAACTTTTAATTTAATTTATTTTTTGGTCCGGGAATGTCCTCCTTTTTTGGGAGAAAAGGAAGCTGAGACACTCTTGACAGCCAACTGTCAGATGACACTGTTACATATAGTACTAGGAGATCTGTTTGCCTGAGGGCATGCTGAAGAGAGGTTTCTTTTCCTTCGGGAACCTGTGAAGTTGGATGCAGGATCATGCCACCAGAGCTACGGGCCTTGTGTAGGAAGGGCTGGAGGTGCTAAATAAAGCCTTCTTAAACGGGAAGGTGGTTGAGGCCAATAACAGTTATCTGTTCTAGGTCATAGAATCATATAAAATTTGGGTTGGAAGGGACCTCAAGAGGTCATCTAGTCCAACCTCCTGCTCAAAGCAGGACTAGCCCCAACTATATCATCCCAACCAAGGTCTAGCCAGGTATTCAAAATCTCCAAGGATGGAGATGACACAGCCTTTCTGGGTAACATGCTCCAGTGCTTTACTACCCTCCTAGTGAGAAAGATTTTCCTAATAACCAACTTAAATTTCCCTTGCTGACACCATTGCTCCTTCTTCCATTATCTGTCACCACTGAGAACAGTCTAGCTCCATCCTCTTTGGAACCCCCCTCCAGGTAGTGAAGGGTGCTATTAAATCCCCTCTAAGTCTTCTCTTCTCCAGACTAAATAAGCCCAGTTCCCCCAGTCTCTCCTCACAAGACATGTGCCCCAGCTCCCTAACCATTTTCATTGCCCTCCGCTAGACTCTCCCTAATTTGTCCACATCCTTTCTATTGTGGAGGGCCCAAAACTGGACACACTACTCCAGATGTGGCCTCACCAGTGCTGAATAGAGGGGAATAATCACTTCCCTCATTCTGCTGGCAAAACTCCTACTAATGCAGCCCAGTATACCATTAGCCTTCTTCACGACAAGGGCGCGCTGTTGGCTTGTATTCGGCTTATTGTCCACTATAACACCTATACCCTTTTCTGCAGAGCTGCTGCTTGGCCAGTCAGTCCCCAGCCTGTACTGGTGCATAGGATTGTTCCATCCTAAGTGCAGGACATTTGCACTTGTCCTTACTGAACCTCATGATAATTTGTCTAGGTCTGTCTGAATCCTAGCTCTACCCTCCAGTGCATCTACTAGGTCTGTTGGGGAGGCTTCCTGCTCTGCGGAAGTTTGGCCCGTGTAGCAAGAACAAGAGGCAGAAGTTTGCCCCTCCACTGAACCTTACCAGAATCAGCAAAACTGTGAAGGGTTTGGAAGGAGTGCGCTTTTCTCTTCTGGTGGAGGAACTCTGGGAGAAGCTGGGGTGAGCAGGTTTAGTCCTCCCCAAAAATGAACAGCAACATCTGCGCTAAAAGGTCTCTACTCCCAAAGCTGCCCCAACTCACACTCTTCCCTCTTAGCTACCTGAAGGATAGCTGGACATAAGAGATCCATCTCCACCCAACTCACTGACAGGCTGACTATCTGGCAATACACCCAACATAATTGTGCTCTACTGAATCTCACACCCTTCTCAGCATCAGCAAACCCTTGTGAATACAGGCAGTCCTCGACTTACAACATTGTGAGTTACAATGTTTTGCACTTACAACATTTATAAATTGACACCCTGTTTCAACTTTACAACACTTGATCTTACACCAAGCCACACCAGCAAATAAGTTCGCTGCGTCACCCATCTACCTGGAGAACATCTGTCCAAACTTCCTTGGACACTTTCTTTAAGAAAGTGGACAAGACTCCAGAAAAACCTGCAGACAAGACTCCTGAGAAGACTCCAGCCAAGAACCCTTCAAAAAACCCTTCAACCAAGAGCCTTTCAAAACGTCCAGCAAAGTCTCCTCAAAGATGTCCTTCCAAATTAATATGATTGCTATTTACAATATAAATACATTAATGTAGCTATATTACTCATCTATAATTGATCAAGTACAAAATTCTGGAGTATTTTTGGTGAAAATAGGGTATCGGGCCTTAGTTTGGGAACAAATCCCCCATTTATAACGTTGTCTCCTATGGGAAAATCAGTTTCGAGTTACAACATTTCGACTTAAGGTTCGGTTTTCAAGAACCAATTGTGTCATAAGTCTAAGGACTGCCTGTATAAATTCAAGTGCCTAACTTCAGGTGCTCAAATTTGGAAGGATTGGCCTTTGTCAGAGTTAAGGTTTTTTTTCCAACTGACAGCAATTCCCAAATCCTTGAATCTGAGGTAAATTGAGTCTGTTCTGAAAGAGTAAACTGTGTCCCAAGCCTAAGTCGTTTATGACTGTTGCCTTAATAAAAATGCCTAGGTCTTGAAAAACTACTTGTTCAGTTTAGTTCCTACCAGTTAGGCAGGCATGTGGATCTTACCACCAAAAATGTAAGATTAAGTCAACCCATGCATGAGTTTTCGCTGGCTAATTTTACCAGCATGCACTAACTGTTCTGGGAGAGCTCTCCACATGGATACTCTATTCTATTATAAAAGATGCTGTATTCTGGAATAATAAGTGTGCTCACAAGCTACATGATCTACCACGGAAGAAGTGATTCTTACTCCAGAACAAAGTGGGCACATTATCCCAGGGGGAGGGGGGAGGGGAGTTACTGGGAGCTATTCAGACCAATTTAGCCATGTAGGCAAGCCCATGCTTACAAGCTTTTCCCCATCTACCAAAAAAGCATGATTCTCAGGCTTCAGTCTTGTACCAGATCCATACAAAGATATCCACAAGCACTAACGCAGTTGCAAGATCAGGGCATTGGTTTACTTAACCGTTGTTATTATTATTATTATTATTACTACTACTACTACCACTACTACTATTTAGATCCTACTGCTGTAAAAGCAATATAAAATTTATAATCAGTTAAACAAAACATAAGAGACAAATTCCTCATAGCAAAATGCAAAATCATGAAAATTTTTCTTACCTAGCACAACCTCCTAATAGAGACAGATATATTTGGACATTTTTTTCTTCATACTAAAATGCAGTTTGCCACGCCAACATACAGTATTCCCCATCACATGCTCTCTCCTATTGCTACCTACTTGATCTTTCCCCTAGTGAGAGCAGTTGCATATGAAGCAAAGAGAGCTTAAATAAGCTCCACTTGGAACACGGCTCTTAAATGGATAGAGAGTAATATGAGAAGGAACCATCACACGCTTCAATGGGGCTATTTTCTGGAATTATTTATCACTTTGTTATGCTCTGTTGGCTACACGGTCGAGATTATCTCCATGGGTGGGAACATTGTGATTGTATTACAGGTGTTTGTCAAAGCCAAGGGCTCAGTTGCCAGTACCAGAGCTAGGTTTTCAGAAGAGCCCAGTTCAATTTAGACACTTAAAACAATGCCAGATGCTCAAATGGGCATGGCCGCTATGGCTCCCATCAAGACTCATGAAAATTTTCTGGGTGCTGAGACTCTTTAAAACATTGGGCATTTCATTCAGGTGTCTAACAAGAGTTGTGATCTTCAGAAAATCTGACCCTTAAATAATAGCTTCATTTTCCAAGCATGCAGTAGTTCCCAAGACAGTCAAGAGAGACACCACTACCCACCATTCATATTTTACAATTTACAGAAAAGCTGAACAGTACCTCACAGCTCCCACTAACTTTGTTGGCAGCCCCTGGGTCCTCAGTACTTTTGAAAATCAAAACGTTTATGAATCAGCCTAAGCAGGAATCTAGCTGCATAACCCTGGTTTTTTAAATTTTGTCCTTAGTGTATCATATCTCAATCTCAGCTTTTTTTTAAGTCTTAGAGTATTGGGGTAATTCTATCATTAAAGCAGGCCAGTAAAGTGATCATGGGGCAAGTTTTTCAACATTATTTTAGTTTTTCTCTATGCAGGTTTTGTAAGTATGACCTAAGGCTTTTAAAAGGATAGTTATACCAGTGCACTTTTCATATAGATCAGCAATTCTCAACAAGCGTGCCTTGAGTTCTTTTCAGGGGTGCTATGCAATGTTAGCATTGTTAGGTATGCAAACACGATGAGATAAAGACAGAGGGTGTGTCCCCACAAGTGGGAACGTTCCCCAGGGACAACTAGCGGGGGCACATATTTGTGCCCCCGCTAGTTGTCCCTGGGGAACGCCCCTGCATGCCTACTTTGGCATGTAGCAAGTTGCCCTGGGATGGGGTAGGGGAGACTGGGACCAGCACCTGGCCTGGCCCCAGCAGCCTTACCTGGAAGCCTCTCAGGGCTGCAACAGCAGTGATCCAGGCACGCGGAGCCTGGGCAGCAGCCGGAGCATGACTCTGGCTGACCAGGCTCCAGTTCCGGGCAGTGCAAACTGCTGCCATATGTGCCACCCCATTTTTTTCTGGCATGGGTTTTTTTTTTACACCAGGATCTCCCAGTGTCAAAAAACCCCACTGCACTGCAAATTAGCAGCGTGGCAAATGCCTGCATGTGCAATGCTTGCGGTTTGCCATGCTGTAGACTGGTCTGTAGTGCCACAAACTGCAAATGCACACCTCATCTAAATACACCCAGAGATTTCAAATAGGAAACCATAATGTTAAAAGCATTCTGACCTGCTGTGGGAATTTTAAGTTCTCTGCAACAGGAAACTTGTCCTTTTATTTTTTTGATAGTCAAAAAACAAGTTAGAACTAAAAGTGGGTGCCTTAAGTCTAAAGAGGTGTGCCTTGAGTCCAAAAAGTTTGAGAACCACTGATATAGACACTTATATTCTGGAATCATGGTGTCTTTTAAGTTTAGTTTTGTTTGCTTCAGGTAAAGCTGAAGTGAAAAAAAGCCTTCTTGGATGTTAGGAAGATTTTCCACATGCTGAAACAGATACTGTTTCTTATAACTGGTAAACCTTTCCTAAGTAGACAAGTCCCAAGAGAATTAGAAGCATAAATCCTGCTCACAATCAGTGTTGTATTACTAAATCTTTTGGGTGCTTTTGAAATTCTCCCTTATAATAAATCTCTCTCTAGAAAAGTAGAGCTGCTTCTAATAGACCCAAAAGGTTTTGAATTCCAATATTCTTAATGGTCACACCTTAAAGGTGCTAATCAAGTTTCTTCTAATCCAAAAAGATGAAAAAAGATCTTTTAAGAGGATTAGTGGATGAAGTTTAGTTTAGTCTTGGTCAGCAAAAAAAAAAAAAAAAAAAGAGAAAACCAGATTTGAGAGCTGTCATGTTTCTGTGGATATCAGACCTGTTTCACAGTTCTAGTGTTACAAGGTTTAAATATCTTAGAAATCTATATATTCCCAACTATGTTTAGCAGCTACAGGTTTTTCAGGGTCATAAAAACTTAGGACATTCAGAGTTATGTTTCCCACACCAACCTATGAACGAAGCTAAATTTTTAGAGTGGAGGCTTAAGTTCTGAACTGGCGTTTTCCTCCATCTGACATTTCTGGTTTTTTTCCCTAAAACAGTTTTGTCATCAAAAGCTGAAAAGATTCTAAACAACTGGAAAAAAAAAATCTTCAGCCAGCGTTACTGCCAAAAAACTTTCAAGTTTTCCTTTAATTATTCAGGAAAAGCAGCTTCTGGACTGAAGATAGCTAGGTGAAATATAAGTTCCACGATAATTTTTTTTATTGAGGAAATGATCAGATAAAGGAACCAAAGGTCTATAATTTAAATGCTCATTGACTTCTAACAACCAGCACCGGTAATTGCTTAAGCCTATAAAATTTGCCTCAAATTGAAATATCTGCAGTGGCATGTGTGTTACTGTGCAGTAAAATGCAAGATTATGCTTTTATGCTAATAAGTCATGCCCAGTCTAGGGTGTTGTCTAACCTGGGAATTTGTCATAACTTCTGCAACTGCTGGCCAGCCACTGGTGTATGTGAACCAGTGCAAAACTCTTGGTGCTTGCCAGACTTGTACTGGTAGAGCTATGTTTGATGTGCAGCATGAAACCTCACACCAGCAACCTATCCCAAATTGTGTAAGAATATGAGATGGCAAATACCATTGTGTGTATGAATTACAGGACTTCAAGGAAGTTATGCTGATGCTCAACAGCCAAGGAGCTAGCCCTCTCCTTTCATACTCTGAGGGCATGTCCAAACAGGTGTGCACATGCAGTATGCGGTGCCGCACAATACAAGCACTGCACATGCAGGTGGTCCCCATGCAGCTCATTTGCAGTGCACAGGGGGGGAGGAGGGAGTAGACATCAGGAGATCCTGGTGTCAAAGAACCCTACACCTAAAAAAAAGCTGGGCAGCACACATGGCAGCAGCACATGCCACCTGAAACCAGAGCCTGGCCAGCCAGAGCCACACTCCAGCTGTCAGCCAAGCTCTGTGCTGCAGGATTGCTGTAGTTGCAGCCCCCAGAGGCCCCCGGGTAAGGAGCTGGTCCTAGCTGCCCCTAGTCCACCCAGGGCAACATGCTGTGCACCAGAGCATGCGTGCACAGGGGTTCCCCGGGGACAAATAGCAGCGGCACATATCGTGCCACTGCTGTTTGTCCCTGGAGAAACGTACATTCCTGCTTTTGGGGCGTGCCCTGAGATGTTACCTTCAGAAAAATCTCTCACAGGTTAACTCAATGGCATTTCTCCAAGTTTTATTTGTTTAAAATCAAATTTTCACTAGTTCTTTTTATTGCCATTCCGGCGCTGCGGAGATATCTTTACGTGCAAGTGCACAGACACTGGTGTTGTTCGCATCGGGGATCTTACCAACCTGCAATGGAAAAACAAACAACAATAAAAGAAATAGGTGTAATTCTCTCTGCCTGGTCATAGGTGCTCCTCTTCAACCACTAGGTGGAACCACTTAGGGAGGTGGGGATGTTTGGGTACGTCTACTGTGAGATACCTGGGCTGAGACTTTTCAACTGTCAACTCACAGCTGTGTCTAAAATTAACATGGCTTAGGTATCCAAATCCCCTAGGCAGTTCTGAAACCCTCATTCCACATATCTGCAAATGCTGAGAATAGATGGGCAAATTCCATGGATTCACTCTATGAAAGGGGCTACCAAACTTGTTAGGATTTGTTTATGGAGCTGGTTACAGGCAAATGCTTGTGCTTTCCAGGACCTATGGATGAATGTTTCTTCTAACTGATCTGTATTTGACAAAACTCTCAAACTGCCCATTTTGAATAAATAAATGAATAAATAATCTACTGAGGAACTAGAAAAGGATAAAGTACTGGTAGGGAAATACCAGGTAACTGGTATAATTCAGGTCATTCCAAAGGCAGGAAAAATTGGCTCTTCAGAAATAAATCAACCATAATAATAATGACTAATATACATCATTTTTAAATGGGCAAAAAGGGAAGAGGTTGATATCGTATATTTGGACTTTAAAAAAGCCTTTGACCTGGTGTCCCATGATGTCCTCATGGAAAAGTTGAGCAACTGCAGCCTAGACTACTCCACAATCTGATGTCGGGGGAACTGGCTCCGAGGTCAGACCCAGAGAGTGGTAGCTGATGGAACTGAATGAACATGGCACTCAGGGACTAGAGGTGTCCCCCAAGGCTCTGTTCTCGGACTTGTACTCTTTAATGTCTTTATAAATGATCTGGACACTTGTGTCAGAAGTGGACTGGCTAAGTTTGCTGATGACACCAAACGTTGGTGAAGAGTATCCACAGTTAAGGATAGGTTGGTGATCCAGGCCGACCTTGATAGGCTTGCAATGTGGGCAGATGAAAACCTGATGGCATTCAATGCAGAGTAATGTAAGGTGCTCCACCTCAGGGAAAAAAGCCCACATTACACTTATAGGCTCGGCAGTGCTACACTCACTAGTACCATGATCAAAATAAACTTGGGGGTCATGATTGACCACAAGATGAACATGAGCCACCAATGCAATACCACAGCTGGCAAAGTGAACAAAACTGGTTTGCATCTACCAATGCATCTCGAGCAAGGCCCATGTCATCCTCTCACTGTATTAGGTCTTGGTGAGGTCACAGCTGGAGTACTGCATCCAATTCTGGGCTCAACAATTTAGGAAGGATGTAGAGAAGGTTGAAACAGTCCAGAGAAGCGCCATGTGCATGACCAGAGGACAGAAAAATAGTCCTTATGAAGAGAGGCTACAAACTATGGGACTTTTCAGCCTGGAGAAGAGAAGGCTCAGGGGTGACTTGGTGGCAGCCTATAAGTACATAAGGGGTGTGCATCAGGATCTGGGAGAACGCCTGTTCAACAGAACACCCCAAGGGATGACAAGGTCCAATGGCCACAAACTCCTGCAGGACCGGTTTAGTCTGGACATAAGGAAAAACTTCTTTACTCTCTGAGCCCCCAAGGCCTGGA